CAATGGTGGGTTTCTGGGTGAACAGTTTCTGGTTTCCAACTCTGTAAATTTTCTGGGTTTGTGTTCTTGATAGTTGACTAGTCATCTGGGTTTGTGCGGTTGACTAGTCATCTTTTTCTGCTGTTTGGTGTTTGCTTGATTATGCTGTCTTCACACACTTTCACCATAGTTGTTGCTAGCACAGGGGATGCCTAGATTGACGGGTCCTTCTGAGTGCCTAGGTTGTCACTAGTAATTCTCTAGGCTTGCAGGTACATCTTTGTATGCTCTGTGTATGTTATTGTTTGGTATAATTCATATATGACAGTTGACTAGTCATAAGAGTATTTGGTGAAGGTCTAGAGTGTGAAGTTTGCTGCGTTCTTGGTTGAATATCTTTTAAATTTACCCCTCGTCACTTAAGTACCATTTTCACCTTCTCCATATCACTTTCAGCCTCACTGCATTCATCATTAAATGATTTCTGTTTGGAAAATGCATGCATCCATGCGCGAAGAATACTTTTATTAGATACTTTAATGTTCAACCTAAAAATTTCTTCAACACTCAATTTAGTTCCAGCCTTAGCATCCATATTCACAAATGTCACAGGCATTCCACCTCGTCTATCTTCCTTGAAAAACATCTCACCTTGATAATATTGTTTCTCGCTAGCATAATCAATATGAAAATTGTAAAAGTTAATACGAGAACCCAATACAATGTCTTTTGACTTATTGTTGCACCATTGTTTTTTAATGTAAACAATGTAATCATCATCAATTACATCACGATCAACCTCCATTTCCTGAAAATTTAAGATTAAAAAAAAAAATCAGATTATTTGATTTCAGTGTTGCATCAAAAGGAAAAACATCACTTAGATCCTAAGCATGTTGTTAACAATAATGATAATTTATATTGGGTACTAATTCATTCATATAGCATATACTAAAAAACGAGCGCCCACCAAAAGTTCTCATAGAGCTACTGTAAAATCACACGAGCTGAATTAAGTCTGCTTTCCTTATTGGACTTTTCATTAACGACGAGTTTATATGGGTTTTGACCCACCACTATCATTCACAACTAACTTTTGGATTTAGTCATATGAAAAGAAATTTTACCCAAAATTATTTTCAGCAAATATTTGTGCCGAAAGGGTCAGTTGAATGACACCAAACAAACATGATGCATAACAACACTGAGAAGTTAAAATAAGATCAACAAAAAGATACAGTATCCTTAGGAAACACTTGAGCTCAAAAAGAAAGTATTCTTAAAAAACTATGATGCACAACTCTAACAAAAAACAACACAACGTTCAAAAGGAAATAAAAACAAAAACTATAGCAGAAAACAACCATGCACCAACAATGAATTGACAGGCTCAATGAGCAATAAACTTGCTTACCAACTCAATGAGCAATATTAAAACAAAAACTAGGTTATAAACGAGAGAGCACAAGATAATTACCCTTGATTATCGTTGACAATGAAGCAAAAACGTATATGGAGTGGCCCAGCGGCACCTTTGAGTGAAGCAAAAAAAGATATTGAGTGAAAGAGAAATCCAAGAGGGAGGGAGAGAAGAAGGTAAATTATATAGGAGTTAGAAATCCAAGAGGAGGGAGAGAAGAAGGTAAATTATATAGGTGTTTGAACTAATCCACTTTTACTCAATTGGCCTATAAAAGGGGCAACAAACATACAGGTATATTATTTTTTTAGTTTCTTCTTCTTATAAGTCTCCTGTTTCTTCCTCCCAAAAAAATTAAAAATTAAAAATTAAAAAAAATATAAAAATTTCCTGTTTCTTCCTTCATAAAAAAAAATATAAAAGAAAATAAATAACAGGTTTCGTGTTTCTAGTGGAGGTTAGGATTACTTTCCCGTTTCTGGCAACATTAATTAGGTCATTATATAAATACAATGGTTTGCGGATATTAGCTCTTCTATATTTACATTCCGCGAGTTCCAAACTTTCATATCATACCCAAAAACTCCCTTAATTCCCTTTTGCCTCAATTTAAGCATTCCAATAGCAAAGGCCCTATCATGGGGGATCGGTATATATCTCAAATTTCGGCCGCCGCCGCTGAGCTCACCTTGGGTCAAGGCCATACCTTGACGATGGCTTCACACCAAGATGAGGTACTCGGCAAGATATTGGCGATCGAGAAATCTCTGGGCAAGATATCGGAGATGGAGAAAACTCTGGGCCAACTGTTGGATTGGTTTAAATCAATAACGCAGGAGCTTCGCTTACTACGGCCCGGTCCACCCATAACAACGAGGCCGCTACCTTGCACGGTGATTGAAAACTACAATCCCAACCAAGAGGAGGCCTATGTTCTTTACCCAAGGTCAGTTTATTTTTGTTTCTCTGTAAAATTGTTGATGTTCTTAATTCTCATTGTTGTTTTTTTATTTTTTTATTTAATTTTTCGATCAATTTTCTTTTCATTTAGTTTCTTGGAGAATTCTGCTTAACTTTTCTCTCGCTGCTAAATACATTTTGACTGATTTTTTTCTTGAAATATATAATAGCCAGTTCTACTAGATAAATTCTTCCTAGGCAGGCAGGGTAGGTGTTTGAAAAGATTAACTTGACTTATTGTATGCATCTCTCTTCTGTTTTTTGTCCAGGTTACAGGAGCAGCCAAAACAAGAAGAAATAACCGCCAGGAAGCTGGAGATAGAAGCCATGCAGCATGATGAAGCCACTGATGTCCCAATCAGTTATTATTAGGAATTGTGAAATATGAAATTCAAAGCCTTCAACAGCCACAACCTAGAAGAAAAAGTTTCCTACAACTTAGTTTAGGTCATTTTATTTTGTCTTTGTTGACTTGCGCTTATTGTAACTTTATATTTTTTTAAATATAATTTTGGCTTGATTCTTCTGAGAGTAAGATGGAAGCTGTGGTAATCTTTTACCCCAAAATTATTTTCAGCAAATATTTGTGCCGAAAGGGTCAGTTGAATGACACCAAACAAACATGATGCATAACAACACTGAGAAGTTAAAATAAGATCAACAAAAAGATACAGTATCCTTAGGAAACACTTGAGCTCAAAAAGAAAGTATTCTTAAAAAACTATGATGCACAACTCTAACAAAAAACAACACAACGTTCAAAAGGAAATAAAAACAAAAACTATAGCAGAAAACAACCATGCACCAACAATGAATTGACAGGCTCAATGAGCAATAAACTTGCTTACCAACTCAATGAGCAATATTAAAACAAAAACTAGGTTATAAACGAGAGAGCACAAGATAATTACCCTTGATTATCGTTGACAATGAAGCAAAAACGTATATGGAGTGGCCCAGCGGCACCTTTGAGTGAAGCAAAAAAAGATATTGAGTGAAAGAGAAATCCAAGAGGGAGGGAGAGAAGAAGGTAAATTATATAGGAGTTAGAAATCCAAGAGGAGGGAGAGAAGAAGGTAAATTATATAGGTGTTTGAACTAATCCACTTTTACTCAATTGGCCTATAAAAGGGGCAACAAACATACAGGTATATTATTTTTTTAGTTTCTTCTTCTTATAAGTCTCCTGTTTCTTCCTCCCAAAAAAATTAAAAATTAAAAATTAAAAAAAATATAAAAATTTCCTGTTTCTTCCTTCATAAAAAAAAATATAAAAGAAAATAAATAACAGGTTTCGTGTTTCTAGTGGAGGTTAGGATTACTTTCCCGTTTCTGGCAACATTAATTAGGTCATTATATAAATACAATGGTTTGCGGATATTAGCTCTTCTATATTTACATTCCGCGAGTTCCAAACTTTCATATCATACCCAAAAACTCCCTTAATTCCCTTTTGCCTCAATTTAAGCATTCCAATAGCAAAGGCCCTATCATGGGGGATCGGTATATATCTCAAATTTCGGCCGCCGCCGCTGAGCTCACCTTGGGTCAAGGCCATACCTTGACGATGGCTTCACACCAAGATGAGGTACTCGGCAAGATATTGGCGATCGAGAAATCTCTGGGCAAGATATCGGAGATGGAGAAAACTCTGGGCCAACTGTTGGATTGGTTTAAATCAATAACGCAGGAGCTTCGCTTACTACGGCCCGGTCCACCCATAACAACGAGGCCGCTACCTTGCACGGTGATTGAAAACTACAATCCCAACCAAGAGGAGGCCTATGTTCTTTACCCAAGGTCAGTTTATTTTTGTTTCTCTGTAAAATTGTTGATGTTCTTAATTCTCATTGTTGTTTTTTTATTTTTTTATTTAATTTTTCGATCAATTTTCTTTTCATTTAGTTTCTTGGAGAATTCTGCTTAACTTTTCTCTCGCTGCTAAATACATTTTGACTGATTTTTTTCTTGAAATATATAATAGCCAGTTCTACTAGATAAATTCTTCCTAGGCAGGCAGGGTAGGTGTTTGAAAAGATTAACTTGACTTATTGTATGCATCTCTCTTCTGTTTTTTGTCCAGGTTACAGGAGCAGCCAAAACAAGAAGAAATAACCGCCAGGAAGCTGGAGATAGAAGCCATGCAGCATGATGAAGCCACTGATGTCCCAATCAGTTATTATTAGGAATTGTGAAATATGAAATTCAAAGCCTTCAACAGCCACAACCTAGAAGAAAAAGTTTCCTACAACTTAGTTTAGGTCATTTTATTTTGTCTTTGTTGACTTGCGCTTATTGTAACTTTATATTTTTTTAAATATAATTTTGGCTTGATTCTTCTGAGAGTAAGATGGAAGCTGTGGTAATCTTTTACGGATTAGTTTTCCTCAAGCTGTGACCTGGTTCTATTTTTGCTTTTTTGATTTATGGCTTGCTCTTAATTTGGTTGATTTTTAGGCCTATTTCTTTGCTTGCTCTCTTTTCACTCTTATGGAATGGACCAATACTGGATCCTATATATGTTATCTGTGGTTTGGATTATTCAGTTTCTAACAAGACCTGCTGGTCATTTTGATTGGATTGGTTTGTTTGCTGGACACTAATGGTTTTGGGATTCTGTTTGGGACTCAAGATGGAAACTGAACAAAAGCCTTTGGTCGGCCTTTCTTTTATATATCAGAACTATGAAGTTTCTCTCAAGGAATGGTCGAGGTTGTTCTGGACCTGGGTTTAAATCGGAATTTCTTTTGTTGGATCGGACTTGTAGTCCAGATATATTTTTTTTTACTCTGGAAACCAAGTTGTCCTCTAGTAATGGTATGGCTGGTGGAATGATTCTAGCTTGGAATGACAATAATGCAAGTTGGTATTCACTACATGAAAGATCGTTTCTTATTACCTTCTGTGTTTGATTTGATTCTGGGATTGGGTTGACTTATTTGTTTGTTGGCTTTTCATATGTATCCTCGAAAAGATGAACAAATTCTTATTTGGGACATTTTATTGATAAAGTACCTGGGAATCAATCTATTTTGCTGATATCCTTTCTATACAGGAAAAATTAGATGGCTCTAATGTTGTCAATTGATTGATAAATGTTGAACTTGATGAAGATTGTATTGGACTCATTTCAGTAGATTCTTCTACCTGGACTAATAATCAACAACTGGAAAACCGTATTTGGGAGAAATTACGCAATGATGAAATTGTTTGATTTCACTGGTACATCGGCACCCTCAGACCAAGCCACTGATTTCATATAGCAGCCTAAACAATTTGAAATCGTTTGAGCCATTTTACGTAGCACCCAATCAAACTTTTACCCAGGCAGAGAACATAAAGGGGGCTGATCGTCAGATAAATTTTTTCTGAAGAAGTTTATCTTAAATTCATCATCGTGCAAGTAAACTCTATTTGAAATGCTGTCCAATCTGCCACAGAATACCTACTCACGATCTGAATCTCAGAATGAATCATATACTGCGCAGTATTGCACACTTTTAAAGACTTAATATGGTTGAATTAACATAAAACCAAATGTGTGAATATCTGATTAAGTCAAAAAGTAGTAAGAGAAAAAGTATGATTGCCTAAAAGGAGTAGTATAGAGACCGAGGAATAGCCAATCATTTTTGCATACCTCAAGTAGAACAGAAATCGTAGCTATAATCGTTCTGCCGGAGCACCAACCTGCAAGTAAATGGAAATCAACATTCAAGAATATCATATATCAGCACTTTCACTGCAATGGTTTTATATGAACATAATCCAAAAAAATAAAAATAAAAATAAACTTGCGCACTAGTATATTTTCGTTAGAATAATAATAAAAGTATATGAAATACGCGGCTCTGAATACGGTTCAGAGACTTGTATATCCACGAAAAGCAGCTTGCGCAAATTCATCTAATTCCATTATCTCAATCTGAAAGCGTACAAAAATCAAGAGAAATTTCAATCACAGAAAACAGAGGTCAGTATGTTGTACAAGTATTAGCAAGTGAGGATCCTATTTGTTCAACCACCTGTAAAAATGTGCAATCTATTATGGCTAGCGAACTCCAATTGAATCACAAACTCCATACTGGAAAAATATGTGCATACAATTATGTTATAGCTACAATATTAATGAATTTCACGCTCAATATAATCTCCCGAAGAAATTTATTTCCCCTTTTCAAAAAAGATATAAAAAACAAACATGACAAAATGTTGGCAAAATGAAGAAAGCCTCCAAGAATACTTCTTACCCTGGGTGGGGGACGTAATAAGGGAAGTTTCTATAAGGTAGCACAAGTCAGATTAGCCAATTTAGAGGTCATTGGCCAAGTTCCATGACAGGACCGCCCCAAATTCCCTCTTGGAATCCGTGACAGTTGGCCAGCTCAGGGCACTGTTGGACGTGATTCTTGTTCCAAAAGGTTTGGCTATTGCAACCGATTATAGTTGGAAAATCACCAGCCGAGAACCTCCACCGGTTTGGCCTTACTCCGGCCAAGTCCGATGCTTTTTGACCTCGACCCTAGAACTAAAAACACTCCCCTCATCATGCTTGATCGTTTTACTGTCATGTAGTTATCTCCATATCGTCTCAAGCTTGACGGTATGCGCGGATTGGCAAGACTCGGTCGTTTTACCAACAATTGGAGTTTCACCTATTATGGACCGTTTGATCGGGAACGATCGAATCGTTGGATCAACCCCATTTATGGATGTTTTCCCTGTACCATCACGACTGTATAGGAACTTACGGATCCAAAATTGGAGGTTTGGATATTCCGGATCAACGTTTGTTGGGTCACGCTTATAGATGGCTTTCAGATTTTGAGATGGAGGATGATCCGATTTTTGGATCGAGACCAAACTTTGAGGATGTGTTCATTGAACTGTAGTTGACCTATATGAACATCCAGATCATGATTATGAGGTCGTTGGGCCCCTACAGGCTCAGTCGACCAGATGGATGTCACGCTTAGGCTTTGCACGCAATTAGAGCTGTGAAACTCTAGGGTTTCGTTTTTAAACTTCAGTTTATATTCTGTTGAATCTAACATGCGTATATCTCAAATAGGTACATTAGCTCCAAGTACTTTCGTGGAACGACCCATTTAAGGTTGATTTAGCTTAGGATCATCTGTGAGTGGACTTTGTTTCAAGAGATAAAATTGTCAGAAATAACATGTGAACCAAAAACAGACTTTTAAGTGAAACCCTCTCTTCCCCAGAACCTAAGTGTATGCGAAACCAAAACGGAAAAGTCCGGAAGTAGTCCCAAGTGTCACCAACGACCGAGACGGTCTCGGAAGACATCTGGTCAATCGAGACAACGGGGCCCACCTACCATGTAAACTGGGCCCCATTGGTAACGGTACAAAAGTTTTATAGCCTTTTGGTATATTATGGGCAATAATTGTTGTTGGTAATACCGCGGTTATTGCTCTTCTTAATATTGGAAAACTAGGTTTTATATTAAGCAAGCAAACAAAATACGACTATTCATTCATGCTTGATGAATTCTCCCCCACACCAAAAAAAAAAAAAACATTATATATTGATTATTGCAAGTAATACAGCTTTATTTTAGTTTTAATCTATAACTCATGTCAAAATACCCACACAAAAAAATAAACAAACAAACAAGCAATTAGACGCATTAAAGTATCTTCTACAGATTGATGTTATCTAGCTGTAGTAGTAGTATTTTCAACCGAAAAATGAAAAAGTTGCAGTAGTCGAAGAAACTAAGTGATGACATGAATCATATCAAAAAAATCAACCCAGAGTGTTCTGAAAGTAGCGTCCACTTCCTTGATCTTTTCCATATCACCTTATTGCCTATAATGCGCATAGATGTTTCGTAGGAACCTTAAAAACTCTGACGGGTCATCTTTATATGGTTTACCCTTACGAGACTCGAGTATTGCACGCAAGAATGGCTTCAACTTATGTCTGCCTCTGGTCCAACCACACCAAACTTATCATCATAATAAATACCAGTAATATATTTCACCCTTTTATAAGGAGTCAATAAAAAAGGGTGATTCTTCAATTTCTCAACATATTTTTCATAGCTGAAAAGACAGCTGAAAAGACAAAAAAAAAATATAAATAAATAAATAAACACTTAGAAACACACAAATAGTAAGTTCACAATAACTCACCTGTCTACTTTTTCGTCAAAACATTTAAGAAAACTATCACGCTCATTCCATTTAGGAGATATGGCTGGCATTAGCTTCTTCAGAAAGTCCCTGAAGTCTTTGAAATCTTGGATTTTCTTTGAATGTTGGTTATCTACACTAAGGCCCTTCAAGCAACCACCGATGTTAAATAGTTTTACTTGGTCCCCAACAACAACATAATTATAATATTCGCTCAACGAACCATGGAAGAGCCCACAATCATGAATGTGAGCAATTGCCTCTATTAATTCCCTGTCACGTCATAAAATACATTAGTTAACTAAACCATAAATTAATAGCACACTAAAACAAAAATACTATTACACTCACCGTGTGTTATCAAACTTGTCATAACACAAGCTCCACCAACCCTTCACCATATTTCTTCAGCCACACTGCACGCACCACCAAATGATTTCGATTTGCAAAATGTATATATCCATGGGCGGAGAATCCTTTTATCAGGTACCCTTGTGTTTAACCTAAAAATTTCTTCAACACTCAATTTAGTTCCAGCCTCAGCATACGCATTCATAAATGTCACAGCGTTCCACCGAGTTTATTTTCCTTGAAAAACAGCTCACCATTGTAATGTAGTTTCCCACTAGCATAATCGATACGAAAATAGTTAAACCTAATACGAGAACCCATTACAATGTCCTTTGAATTATTGTTGCGCCATTGACTTTTAATGTAATCAATGTAAGCGTCGTCAATTAAATCACGATCAACCTCCATTTCCTGAAAATTTTAAATTTAAAAATTAGAAATTTTACCCAAAAATTACTTTCAGCTAGCGTTAAGTCTTATTTTTCTAGAAAGTAAATATTTGTGCAGAAAGAGTAAATTACATCACACCCAACAAACATCAACATCATGCAAAACTAATTTGAAAAGACTAACACTGAGAGATTAAAATAAGACCAACAAAAAGAGAAATTAAAATTTCCGTCAACATAAGCATGCTAATCAAGAACGAAGAGAACAAAATCGTCCAAAGATACAGTATACTTATAAGAACAAACAGTATCCTTAGAAAACACTTGAGCTCAAAAAAAAAAAAAAAAAGAGTAAGGCGAAAAAAACAGCAGTGTACATCCTAAGAAAACTGAGATGCACAACTCTAACCAAATAGAAAAAATACTACTAACATGTT